GCCTTCCTGGAACAGTTCGCTATTTGANGCTACNATTTCTGACACTCGTGCTTCCGCCTCCTCTCTNGANAGACGTTTGATGGNCGCTATTCTAGCGCTTTCCTCCAGAGNGAGTNGCACGTTTTCNCCAGTGCAGTNAATAANTGCTCTATGNCTCGCGAGAAAGTCCATNCCTATTATTAGGTCATAGGCNAATTTTTTNAGAATATAAAATTCTANTACNTAAGTTTNNTCGTTNATTNGCACNTCNAGTGCNGTTTTAAACGCTATTGGTTCCCCCTTATCCGTAAATGCACCTCTTACGGTGAAACGATTTATAGGGATAGTTGTGAGTTCGATTCCCGCACTTGTCAATTCATCGAACGTGCTTTTCGACATTGCATTGATTTGCGCTCCCGTGTCCACTAAGGCCTTCAATTCCTTAGGACCGACCTGAACCGTAATTTTGGAACCAACTCGATTACGAGTTTTGTTTTGCTCCCGGTTCTCGAAATCATCCAAGTCTCGAAGTATTTCCCCCGTTCTTAACAGACTAAGCGTTACATCAGAACTACTTCCTTCCGATTTGTCTTTTATCGCTAACACTTTCGCTTTGGGTTTTGGTTTAAACGGAACTTTGTCTTTTACCTCGGTTGTTCGCGTCTTTGATTGACTCCGAGATCGTTCAGACTTTTTAGTTTGTTTATCTCGTTTATCGTCCCCTTCGCTACTAGTAGGAAATTCGACTATTGGTTCGGAATCTTTTTTAATATTTGCCCTAGAAACGTGTTCATTATTGGGTCTTTTGGTATATCTATCTTTCGAAGGTACACGGTCTCTGCCGTAATTCTTCCTTTTAGTATACTCTTGGGTGTATTTGGAGGTAGTTTGCCCCTTGCCAGTTTGACTCTTACCAGCATAACCCCTAAATCTTGTTTCAGATTTTTCTCGCTCTTTTTCACTGTCAATGTGCGTTAGGTAAGTCATTAAAGCTTCCACCGACGTAATAACCCCAGGCCTGATTGATTTTGAGGTTTCGAGGTCGAAATGCGAAGAAATCGCCGTTACGAATTTCTCATCTGACACTGGTGGGTTTAACATCCTTGTNGCANTTAGNAGTTCNCGAGCGTAACNCGCCATAGGTTGNCCNTTTGACGGATCGAANTTATNACTGTACAATTTACCCCTTACTCTTGTTTGAGTCGCTTGACTCCAAAACCTTTGGATAAACTGAGTTTTGAATTCTATATAGGTTTCGACGTCTAACGTGTCGAACCAATTCGCTGCAGTTCCCGTNAANTTTTGAGGTAAGTANAANANTANNTCATCNTCANTCATCTGCTCTCGCAGAACAACACGGTCGATTCTTTTTAGAAAGTTCATGGGATTTAGTCCCGTTTCCTTGCCATTGAATTTTATATCGCCGAATGGGTTCATTAAGTATCCCCCGTGTGGAATTCGAGCGTTCAATGGTATATACGGCATGACTTGTAATTCGTCCCTTTTAGTCTCATTAATCGAATCTCTTGTGTCCATTAGNTTTGCCTCTGCTCTAGCTTCGCTNTGGTCACTAGATAGGTCCTTAATCTTTTCNNGGTCTAAGACCTCGGTTTTNGGCTCTCCCTGTTCCCTCATCTCAATTTTGTTAAGCCTGCCCACAATNACTGACATTTGCTCTNGGAATTTNTTAAACATCTCTTGCATAGCCAGCATGGGGTTTTGGTTCTGTGACTTATTTTGATTGAGTTCGGTTGATATAGGGATTTCATACGCCAAACCGGTTTTAACTTTGGGAATTGCACCCATTTGTCGTTTGTTTGCCATGCTGCGTGTTTCTCTGACTTGCGAGTCAAAAGTCACGTCTAATAGGCTTTCGCTTGCTTGGCTGGTACGGATTTCCTTTTTAGTCCGGATCGTTTCATCATCAGACTTAGTTGCCTCCATTATGCCCTTTAGGTCTTTAGGAGTTCTTACCGTCGCCATTATGCGTTATTTTAACCAATTAAATTGTTTAATCGATTCAAGTTTGTTAAACTTTTTAACCTTTATTTTCAGGTACTACAGGATTCCCCGACTATGGTAAGTTACCTTTGAATTACTAACTATAACTTTTAACTTTTAACTCTACCTTAGATAAAATTTTTAGTGAATTGATTAACAATTTCTTTTATCTATTTCAGGTTTGTCGAGCTGTTGTCTAAAGTTTAAGCAAGTTTTCGTCCGTTAACAGGTAAGTATAAATTTTTTTTGTTTAATTAACATCCCGTATATCACCTCTAGGTTTTAAAACACTTATTAGTCAGTGAAATTCGTATTATTGTTGTTTAATTCGTTTAACGAATCTAATAATGTTCGAAAACACGACTAATGTAACTTAAGATGTTTATTTCCGGTTAAGTGAGTTATTTACAGGTATGAAAATTTTTAAACAATTAAGCAATAACTTTACGACCAGAGGTTTCTCAAGCCTCTGTAGAATGTCGCTATATACTTAGTTCCTCTTAACTTGCCACTTCCGGTTTCGGAAAAAATGGCCGACAACTTCCGGTTTTGTTTTTCGGAAATTGTTCCTTGATGTCTTACTAGACTGTACACCAAGTTTGAATTCGTTCGGACTTGCCGTTCGTTAATTATCTTATTTGTTAACTAAGTACTCAAGTTAACAATTAACGAAAATTTTACCCCTGTATTTTTTCAATTAGGGCAACAGAATTGTTTGAGGTGCCTTTCGACTCTTAACCTCAATGTTTATTTTACACCGAAAATTTATTAATTAATTAATTAACAAAATTTTATTATCCGGTATTTGTTATTTAAGCATACAGAAACTAACCATATACTTTATTTTTCCGTAAGTATCGCGGTTTAGTTTTACAACAAAATTTCACAACAAACACTTTATATTCTTGCTGTCTATACTACATAAGACCTGTTTATGCAAAAATTTTCTCTTAATCGTGCGTCGTTCAATTTGTTAAATAAACAATGTTTTTACAATCCTGAAGTGGTGTAGATTAAATGCGCAAAAGTCGCGGAACCAAAATTTTTTATTAAAGTTCCTGTTATTGCGAAATTTTTAACAACATTAATTTGTCTACGACTCACCGATTGCGTTTCTAACATTTAACCGACTTAAATAATTACTTTTTTCCACTGCGTTATACGTAACTTGCCTCGACCTGTTCGAGTACACTAAATGGCCGCTATGACGTAATCTCTAACGGTTTTATTCCACAACACTAATTACCGTTTATTTATCTTTCAGAAAATAGCAACGTCCTGTCACGGTCGCCACGCGAAAAGTTTATTAATATTATTTAACGACGGATTAATAACGTCAGGGGTCTCCGAAGATAGGTAGTCATGGGGTGTGGACCGTTATTCTTTATTGAGAAACGACACAAACAACCAATGTGCACAAAATGGCGTCGCGGATGCCGACAAGACAAGCCCCTTCACTGTGACCGGGGTTAGGTATGTTTTAAGGTCAAGGACTTACTTTTTGATGAACTAATCACGGTCGCCAGCTGCTGATTCCCCCCAACAGCGAGGGATGCCGCCCCT